GGTGGGGGTGGCAAGAGCGGGCGCTGGGGGCGGCGGCGGCGGCGGTGAGGACGAAATCCTCGCGGCTTTCAGCGAGAATGGATTTCAGACGCGGTGCCCTCGCATTTCGCGGAGATTAGAGGCTTCTTTGTGCGGATGAAGCTCCCCGAAAGCGATTGCGATGGTTTTTGCTCGCTCGCCCCTGCGTAAGTCACAATACGACTCGCGGCAATCGTAACTATTCCTCTATTTAAGTTGATCTTCTTAACTTTCTTATCTTTTATCCTTTGCGCTGGCTTTAATGCACGCCCTGTAATATGATTTGTAAGCCATTACATTTTTAGTAAAGAGGCAATTTCAAAAGAGAACACGCGTATCCTGGGCTTCTTTACAGTTTTCTCTTGGCTAAATACGGGCGATTGTTATACGTAACGAAAGAGATTTTATATGCGCATGTAAATGTAATTCTTCTTGCATTTTCGCGCTAGTATGTTCTTATAACTTTTTATTCTGGGTTTTACATTTTCATCAGTTCGCTTTGTTGATAGAAGCAGTGTCAAATAATACAAATTATTATATTATTATTATTATTATTATTATTATTATTATTGTTATCATTATAATATTTATAATACTCGAAATTAATATTTTCAAAATGTTTTTTTCATTTCTTTGATGTATCACCGATAATTTTTGTGATGGTGCTTGTGTTTGTTTAAAATAAATAAATTCGTGTTTTACCTTTGCATACAAGTTAACTAAATTTCGTCCTCCTTTGAAAGAAATTAAATATGATATTCCCTTGTTTTAAAATAATTATATTATTTTCTTTTAAGTTAACTTCTTGTTTTCTATTTTAATACAAAATCACAAATGAAAACTAAACGTGTATCATATACTGATAACGACGTTGGCAGTCACAAAAGTTAGTGATAAAACATGCAAATGACATCAAACGAATATTCTGACAATCTGTCTTTATTTGTCTGCTGTTATCTCTTCATATATTTTCGTTAGTTATGAAATATGTCTTCAGATTGGAGTGGAACATTGCTCAGGATTCATACGCGCAGTTTCGAAACTTGCGTATGTCGTTGGACACTTGGAGTGCAAATGGGTTGTGCGTGATTTGTGAGCCTAATGACTTTGGACAAGCAATCAAACAATCCTCAAACTCTTGCGTCGTAATTTCGTTTGCCTCTTCCGGTGAAAAATGACTCCTCTATGAAAAGCGACAGGTAGGGCTGGTAAATGCGTTGTCATGTGGATCGTTGGCGAATGAAACACTGACGAATTGGAGTAATAAGAGCCCAATGAACAGAATGAAGGACAGGCATAAAGTACAGTGTGTGTACAAGATCTGAAGAACAAATTCTGTTACTTTTCGGCCTGTGAGGGTTAACCTTTGTAGACATTATCATGAACTAGACCATTATAAACAATACACTTTCATTAGGCTCTGTTTTAGATTCAACCTGTTTAAAATTAAAAAAAAGCACAACATTCGATGTTATCAGAAATTACCTCTAAAATAATAAATATAGAAATGCAACGGAGATTTATGCTGAATTTTGATCATTCTATTTACGACTTATTTCTCAAACATTGCTTATTAGATTCCTGAATTAAACTAAGTTTATTATTATAAAACCACAGTATTTTTAAAGCTATATTTGTTTGAAAAATGGTTCTAGTTCTTTTCTTATTTATGAAGAAGTTAGATCCCAGCGAATGTTCCAAATAATAGTCATCAGTCCTTTCCATCAGATGCCGGCGTAAGCCATTGCTGCGCGAAATGTGTTGGCAGATTCGGCTTGTAAAGCACGCCACATGCAAAAGGCGCCTCATTGTTCCTGACAAGTTCCATGCGCCAGTAAAAACAAGAGAGGACAGACGTCGACTGGAACGCGTGATACAAAAGGTGCGTTGTTTGATGTTGAATTTTTCTCTTAATGTAATCTGACGGTAATGAGGGACCCACGACGTGCGTGTAACAATAGTATCAAATGACAAAGGTTCGTGTGACTTTGAATGTCCATTAAAGTGATGTGTATGAATAGTGGACATATATTTCGTTTAGAACATTGTAGATGTGCGGTGAGTGAAGGATTCAGCGAAATGTTGTTGGGAATGTTTTTGAAAAGGGTAAAATTTGGCTTTGTTTCGTGAATGGCAGGATGCTCCTACTTCTCATTTTTTTGAAAGCCATCGAGATCGAGATACTACTTTTATTTTTATTAGAGAATGTGTATTTTAAGTCAGAAAGTTACTAGTGGGGCTACAGAATGGTACAAACTTTCTCAAATTAGTTTCCGTATCTCCTCAGTCTAGGCTATTTTTTCGGTTTGTCCCACTCTCTTCTCTGCTGCGATCTACTATTTTTTTCACATTTTTTCTATTTTGCGAACACCTAAGAGTAGAATTAAAAGTATATGACTTTATGAATATTATACAAAGGTAAAATCAGGTCCTATATGTAAATTTTAATTCAAAAACTTTGAGCGTTTGTAAGAAAATGTCGTTTTAGCGTATCTGAAAATGAATGAAAATGAAATGAAAACGAATAGTCTTAATAAGAAATAATTTTAAGCAGTTGTACTTACTAACACGATACTGTATAAGAAATCTCCGAAAAGCAAATATTAACAACGACAGAGTATTTCAAAGAAAATTGCATTTGTGCAATTTAATGTGCAGACAATTTGTGCAGACTAAACCACAATGACATTGATATTATGTTACTCAGTGCATTTAACACTAACCGAACAAAATCTGAAGAAAATATTTGAAGCAACGTTCAAGAAAATGGCAATAGAGCGTTTCTGAAAATGCGTAATTTTAGGCTCATTTTCACAGACAAGTTTTGTGTGCAATTGTTACCATTCTGGCACTCTTTTTTGGAGGCAATTACATGTGGAAATATGTTCCGCAACAGTAAAGGAAACAAAGTTCGGACCTTGTTACTGAATAACAAATGAACTTTAATTATTAAATTTGTTGAAAGAATTTCCACTCCGACCGACACTCGAACTCGGATCTCCTGGTTTACATTCAGTTGCTCTAAACACCTCGGGGAGACGGACCTTTGTTAAAATCCCTACAGAGAAAGATGTTATTTTAATCTCGTTTATATACTTATGACCCTTATTTTGATTTTGTCATTCAGAGGAAAGGCTCATTACGCGGTCTCGATTATGCCACGTGCGGAGATGGCAATGTTGGCGTTTATCGCTTGACACAAAAAGGGATAAAGTCAGCCGAACACAAACTACGCGTAACAGACGTTTTGTGCCTGTGGAAAAGCGATGTTCACGCAGGCATGTAGAGACGTGAATTTGGAAAAAAAAGCCACGGGAAAGACTAGTCGTGAAATGGTCGTCTATCAACATCTCACGTGTTCGTTAATGCCATTGATGGAGTGATGCGAGAGGATAGAAGTGTCAACTAGAGAACAGAGAAACTGGAGCAATGTACGAGACAAGCGACATGTGAATGCGTTAAAGGGCTTCCCCAGCTCCATTGTAAATCCATAGGGCAATGCGATGTATCACGGGCAACTCTGGTAAATGCACGAACAAAGTTATATTCGCAACCAAGATTGTCGTTAATTTGAGGAAACAAAAATCCATGAGCATTATAAGACGTTTGTCTGCTACAATGCCAACAAGTGCAACAAGTTTGAATCGCTCTCTCGTGAGGATGCTTTTACACTTAGACCTGAGTTCAAAATAAGTGGAATTAAGAGTTCATTAAAGTACATTTATCCACTCTAATTATCTAAAGTCATACTTAACCAAACGGAGAGAAGCGTCATAAAAGGAGTTATTAAAACACAAGTGTTCTAAAAATTCATGGACCACTACCAACATTACTCAGTTTTACGAAGTACGTACTAACGTAATATTAGCATATTAATATATATATCCTATTATCCATTTTGTTTATCAGTACGTCACCTTTTGCGGGGTGAATAAGAATATTTTAACTAAACTTGTAGTTCATTGGAATTTTTACAAAGTGGATAAAACGTTTGATTCTGCGAATCCTCTATAAAAGACCACCCCTATTAAACGACTACTCTCAACAACCAATTTCTCTTGGAATGGACATTGAAATGCGAGTATTGTATGCAAGTTACACCACTGTCAACAGATCAACCCTCTTCCCGACCACCGACCAGCCATTGAAAACCAATTTTCTTAATTTGCTCATTATTAATTAATCATTAAGAGGCTACTTTCAGAAAAACATTAAGAATACATACACAGAATTTCCAGTCATTACTGTAACGAAATGAAAATATAAATTTGTACGAATTGTATGAACTCGCGGTAAAAAGAATAGAGAGATGGAGCGCCGGCTGCTGTGAACGTAAGTTTGTTAGAAGAGACTAGATCGTGTTGGCGAGTTGATGGCCGCCTGAATGTAAGCCGGAAATATTAATGTGAGATTTTCAGCATATTGAAAATTTGGCGAAACCTTGGGGAACGTACTTCAGCAAATTAATCGATGGTTCTATGGTAATGAACAAGTTGCCCGCGGAAGCAAAGAAAGTAATATTTGCCGATTGATCTTTGATATATAATTTAATGAATAATACATTTACTTGTTTTTGAACGTAAAGTGTTCTTATCTAAAATATCTCAAGAGAGAAGCCAACGGATAGTGATATTTGGTGGGAGACAATATATCTGGAAAATCGGCGTTGTAAGTGATCGCGGGCATTCACGTGTGCATAACCTGTTGTGGGAACATTGGGTTCTGTAAATCCGCAACAGTTGCAATAAAAATTGGAGACGTAAAAAGCATTCGCACGAGGTAGCCTGTGCCTCGGCTTCCTTCTTGAGGAAATCGTCGGTGGGGGGAATTCTGGAGTTCAAATAACAATAAACGTGTCACAGGTATGGAATCACGACTGTGCGCTCCATTTCAGCTTCATTTCTAGTAGTGAGTCGGCGCATATAAAAGCTCATGTTTATTTCTTTGAATTCACGGTGCCCTCCCTACCTTACCTTCCTGGAAAAACACCCGATGAGGTAGAACGTCGTGGTGTGAAACCAGGGTAATCAACATGCTCCGTAACACGTGAGTGTTAGACTTGCGCCCGGAAGCTGGGCCCAGCGCTCATCGCTTGATGTTTAGTAATTAGTTTGATGGGCAAGAAAAGTAAGCTTTTGTGCTCCTAGGACACAGAATGACAACTTGAGTCTACACAAAAAATGGGAGGTTCGTTATCGGACAGTTATTGGGGGTACTAAAACTGAAAATGATTCAAACGTTTATTATTACCCAAGAAGTGCGAGTATAAATATTTTAATTAATTTCAAAAGGTAATCAACAGTTATAAATAGGCACTTACGTCAAACTGGCAAAATAAAATTTTGTCAGTTTTCATTTACAAATTGTACTCTTTAGTTAAGTACTAAAAAGTTCCATAAATATCCGGTATAAGAGGTACATTCGATTTCTAGTAATAATTCACCACTTTTTGTAAAATAAAACCCCTTCTAAGCAACCACCCTTCCCAAAGGTTTTTTTCCCTCACGGAACCAACAGTGATCACATAAAACAGGTTTCATAATATTCATATGTCACTTCATATTACAATAGTCGATTCGTGATTAAACTAGTTCTAACGACTTCGTTTAATATTTCTTTAATTTCGTTTTTGATTGATTGACTAGTGTTTACGGGCGCTTCAGCTAATAAGATCATTTGCCCCGAATGTACGTATATATTTGGCGCGACAGCCCGTGAACGGGCTCAGACCTACCGGCGATGTCACTGCCTCGAGGTCATGGGTTATGGTGGTACGTTTGGTTAGCACGTTGACATCCCCTCGCCGTATTCGGGTCTTCTCAACCTGAGATGTGAATTTTCTCATCGCCACACAGGAACATATACTGGGACATTGCAAGGAAGACGCGCACTAAAATTTTGGCTCGACTGAAGATCGAACCCGAGGCGGAGTAGTGGAAAGCGAGCACTCTAGCCACGAGGACATTTTCCCCGTAAGTGTAGTGCATTTTTAAACGCCGCCGCCGGATGGGGAGATTCAGTGCTGATCCTCATGCCGGCTGACAGGGTTACCCCATCCAGGTAACACCCACCAGCCGGGACAAGCTATTAGCTCGCGATTGGCCTTCTGGCATGTGTGGTAGCGTGCTAGATGTGACTGTGTGTGTAAGAAAGGAGTGAGGATATGACAAGGAAGAGGGAGGATAGATCGCGCGCGGTCCATAACGTGTAATGTTACTGCTCGGGCATTTCCCTGGTGTTGATCGAAGAAGCCACGGAAAAATACCGATCAGTACAGCAGGCCGCTATAAATCTCGAGGAAGCGTCTGACCTCGAACTAGCTCTGTAGCCAGCACCAAAAATGCTGGCACCATCTGGACTTGAACTTAAGATCTCCCGGGCAGAGGCAATGCAGTGACATCAGTGGATTATCTAGCCGCCTAAGTCGGTTTGAGTTTCGTATTTCGTATCATATCATTAATATACTTAATGAAAATTGTTATTTATTAATAAACAAGCAAAAACTGTTTGATCTAACCACCTTCGTTTTCAATTACACCAATGAGAAAAAAAAACAATATATTTTCTTACTAGTGTCCTTTACATTAATTTTTTGTGACACCTACGCCACTATCTCGCTGAAAATATTTGATTCAACAAAATTTAACTTTTTATTTAAATTTAACTTTAAATTTAATCAACAGAATTATTTCATTTGTTCGAAATTAATGCATTTGGCAAACATAATTCTATGGAATTGTACTTTTGAATTGTTCATGTGCACGTGAAATATCGTGATTAGGTACGGTAATATTGCCTCTCCTCTTAGTTTAATTGTTTTCGTAGAAATGTCTAGACCCCTTTTCCAGGAACGGATGCAGCCGATAATTTTTGCATATCAAATTTGGTATGCTTATCAACCGTCATTATGAAAGAGTATTATTCGGTATTTGTTATTTCTTTCGAAGAACTTCTCCATTGTTGAATTTCATAACACCCCTTCTTCATTACCAGCTACCGCGTGGGCTTTGAACTGTTGTGGGTTAATAAATAAATAAAAATATTGCCGATTCGGGGGCAAAGATCGCTCAGGCAGTAGTGCCGTAGCGGTTTCGCCTGTCCCGCCTGAGGCATGGTTGTGTTGTGTGTTTTTCATCATATAAAAAGCCCCTATAGAAAAAGTAAAACGTGCCACCTACACGCATGGCATCGCATAGCCCTTTGATGGTTCTGAGGCATGGTTGTGTTTGTGTACTATTTTCCACTCCTTCGCCATCAATCAAATTTCATTGATCTCCCAGGGCTAACAACCGTAGGGTCTAATGTTCCCCTAGTAGAAAAAGTAACGTGACCTACACGCCATGCATCGCATAGCCCTTGGGTTTTGAGACATGGTTGTGTTGTGTATATTTATCCTTCGCCATCATCCATAATTTTTCATTCCATCCCCCAGGGCTACACAACCGTGGGTATAAATCGTTGCCCCTATCAAAAAAGTAACGTGCACCTAAAAAACAACGCTGCATCGCATAGCCCCTTGATGGTTCTGAGGCATGGTTCTGTTGTGTATATTTCATCCTTCGCCATCATCATAATTTCATTCCATCCCCCAGGGGCTAACAACCGTAGGGTATAATGTTCCCTATTAGAAAAAGTAAGTGAAACCTACACGCCTGCATGCATAGCCCGCTTGTGTGTTCTGAGACATGGTTTGTGTTGTGTATATTTCATCCTTCGTCATCATCATAATTTCATTCCATCCCCTAAGGGCTAACAACCGTAAGGGTATAAATAGTTCCCCTATAGAAAAAGTACGTGCACCTACACGCAGTGCAATCGCATAGCCCTTGATGTTCTGGAGGCATGGTCTTGTGTTTGTGTAATATTTCATCCTTCGCACATCATCATAATTTCATTCCATCCCCAGGCTAACAACGTAGGGTATACAATGTTCCCTATAAGAAAAAGTAACGTGAACCTACACCGCATGCATCGCATAGCCCCTTGATGGTTCCTGAGACATTGGTTTGTGTTTGTGTATATTCTATCTTCGCCATCATCATAATTTCATTCCATCCCCCAGGGCTAACAACGTAGGGTATAAATGTTCCCTATAGAAAAAGTAACGTGCACCTACACGCATGCAATCGCATAGCCTTGATGTTCTGAGGCATGGTTGTGTTGTGTATTATTTCATCTTCCCATCAATATATTTCATTTCGCATCCACCCAGGGTAAAACCGTAGGGTATTACATGTTCCTCTATAGAAAAGTAAGTGAACCGTACACGCATGCAGCATAGTCCCTTGATGGTTTTCTGGACATGGTTGTGTTGTGTATAATTTAATCCTTCGCATCATCAATAATTTCATTCATCCCCAGGGCTAACACAACGTAAGGGTATAAATGTTCCCCTATAGACAAGTAAGCGTGACCTACACGCATGCATCGCTAGCCCCTTGATGGGTTATCGAGACATGGGTTGTGTGTGTAGTAATTTCATCCTTCGCCATCATCATAATTTCTTCCAATCCCCAGGGCTAAAAACGTAGGGTATAAATGCTTCCCTATAGAAAAAGTAACGTGCACTACACGCATGCATGCATAGCCCCTTGATGGTTTCTGAAGACATTGGTGTGTTGTGTATACTTTCATCCTTGCATCATCATAATTCATTCCATCCCCCAGGGCTACAACCGTAGGGTATACAATGGATTCCCCTATAGAAAAGTAACGTGCAGCCTACACGCATGCATCGCTAGCCCTTGATGGTTCTGAGGCAATGGTTTTGTTTGTGTATACTTTATCCTCGCCATCATCATAATTTCATTCCATCCCCCAGGGCTAACAAAGTAGGTATAAATGTCCCTATAGAAAAAGTACCGTGAACTCTACACGCATTGCATCGGCTATGCCCTTGATGTTCTGAGACATGGTTGTGTTGTGTATATTGTCAATCCTTCGCCATCATCATAAATTTCATTCATCTCGCCCAGGGCTAACAACCGTAGGGTATAAATGTTCCCCTATAGAAAAAGTAAACGTGCACCTACACGCATCGCATCGCAATAGCCTTGATGTTCTGAGGCAATGGTTGTGTTCTGTGTATATTCATCTTCGCCATCATCGATAATTTCATTCCACTCCCCAGGGCTTAACAACGTAGGGTATAAATGTTCGCCTATAAGAAAGTAACGTAACTACACGCTATGCATCGCATTAGCCCCTTGATGGTTCTGGAGACATGGTTGTGTTTGTGTATTATTCATCCTTCGCCATCATCAATAGATTTCATTCCATCCCCCAGGGCTACCAACCGTAGGGTATAAATGTTCCATAATAGAAAAGTTAACGTGAATCTACACCATGCATCGCATAGCCTTGATGGTTCTGAGACATGTTGTGTTTTGTATATTCATTCCTTCGCCATCAATCATAATTTCAATTTCATCCCCAGGGCTAACACCGTAGGGTATAAATGTTCCCCTATAGAAAAAGTAACGTGCACCTACACGCATGTCATCGCAAGCCCTTGAATGGTTTGAAGGCAATTGGTTTGGTGTTCTGTGTATATTCATCCTTCGCCATCATCATAATTTTCATCCCCGCAGGGTAACAACGTAAGGGTTAAATGTTCCCCTATAAGAAAAAGTAACGTGCACCTAACTGCATGCATCGCGTGTCCTCTGAGGGTTTGTGAAGGCATAATGATTGTTGTAGCATAACTTTCATGCATTGATCATCATCATCAATCATTTTCACCCCCCCAGGCTACTACCGTAGGGTATTAGCCCTACTGTATGGGCTTTGACTGTTGTGGGTAATAAATAAACAATAATATTGCCGATGCCGAGGCAAAGATAGCTGGCAGTAGTGCGCGTAGCGGTCTGTCCGCTGGGCATGGTTGTGTGTGTGTGAATTTCATCACTCGTGCTCATCACATAATTTTCTCCCATCCCCAGGGCTAAAGCCGTAGGGTATAATAACGCCCTATAGAAAAGTAACGTGCACCTACACGCATGCATCGCATAGCCCCCTGATAGTTCTGACGCATGGATGTATTTGTGGTATATTTCATCTTCGTCATCATCATACATTTCATCCATTCCCGCAGGGCTAACAACGTAGGGTATAAAAACGCCCCTATAGGAAAATTTAACCGTGGCACCTACATGCACAGCTATCGCGTACCCTGGATGGTTCTGAGGCATGGTTGTGTTGTATGTATTTCAATCATTGGTATCATCATCATTTCATCCCATGCCTCCAGGGCTATCTAACCGTAGGGTATAAAAATGCCGCCTAATAGAAAAGAACTTGCCCTACATGCATTTCATCTGCGTGGCCCCTGAACGGTTTTGAGACATAGTTTTGATATGTGTGTATGTATGTATGTATGTATTGTTATGTTGTATGTAATGTATGTTATGTATGTATGGTATGTATGTATGTATGTTATGTATATAATATATCATATCTATATAGTATCATTATTATATATAATATATATATATATATATATATATATATGATTGTGACGTATGGAAACGGTACTTTCACGCACAAATAAAATATATAAAGGACGGGTCAATTTTTGTGAATGGTCTCCAGGGGAAGATTGATCGCTGCATTAGAAGAAATTTAAAAAGATTCATTTTGTGCACTTGGAGGTTTTAATTACTTGACACATTATAACATTAAGTCTTTACAATTGCAGTGCGCAAAGGCTTTTTAAATAGTTCGTGCAACGAGTAACGGCTAGCTTTGACAGCTTCGATGTCCACGGCTTAAACTGAGGAAGCGTGGCCGCCGTGGCAAGGCGGCGGCGCGCTCGCAAACCCGCTCCGTCCCGAGTTGTCCGGAAGCCGATTTCGGCGGTTGGCTCGTGCACGTGGCCCAACACGCAGCGGGCGTCCGTCGCAGCCCCGAAATTACAGCCGTTCTTCTCAATCCCACACGATTGTCGCACGGTGCGGTCCGCTGCCTACAGTTACGCTCCAGGCGGACATGAATGCGTGTCTATCGGTCACTTAAATTCACTGTTAATGTTTTTCACGTAATCCGGTCCTGGTTCGCACTTCTGCTTTCTTCCTAATCATCTGATATTCTATTTTACGCACCTCTAATCTTCCACCAATAAGCTATAAATCAGTTCGCACACTATTGGTAATTTCAACCGACACATTTGTTTGGGGCATCACAGCCCAGCCGCACTGCGGCCAGCGGCTTCTCCGTCTATATTCTTCACGCCGGAACTAGCGGCCCCCTCTCGCAATATACACCGCGGCGCTCGTGGCGGTCCAGTTTCGGTTACTACACCCGGCGGCTCGTGGCTCCTTGTTCGTCTACTGACCAAGCCGTCACTCGCGTCGCGCACGCTGCCCCCGGTTACGTTGGTGGCAGCGGCGGGCGGGGCGTGCACTAAGCGATCGAATCAGCGTTTTCCTTCTATAATTATATCAAGTTTGGCTAATTATATGTAGAAAACGTTCTTCGTTTGCCCAATATAATATATATATATATTATATATATATATATATATTATATTTATATATATATAATCAATTCTCGTGATCATCATCATCATCAATCATCAATCATCATAATTTCATCCATCCCCAGGGCTAACTACCGTAGGAATAAAAATGCCCCTTTAGGAAAGTAACGGCACCACCTACATGCCTGCTTCGGCGGCGCCTGAGCAGGGCGGAGGGACTCACCCCGAGTAGGAGCCCGTCTTGCTCTCGAAGCGCACGAAGAGCGCGGGGCCCGAGCTGACGAAGTCGTGCTTCTCCATGGCGCGCGAGAAGGTGTCGCAGAAGGTCTTGATGATGCGCGCGTCGTCGGGCCACGCAGCGTCGTACAGCGTCAGCGACTCGCCGCAGTCGCCGGGCCACGGCGCGATGGGCGACTCGATGCGGTTGACGCGGAAGCTGCAACACAACGACACAGGGCGCCTTGCGACACAGTCCGACAGGATAGGAAGTAAACCGTGCATTTAGACCTGCTATATCGACTGTAAATTGTCGTTAATCTGAAAAAAATGTGATACTATTTATTATTTATTTAATAGGTAATTATTACAAACAAATTAGCTTACTTGGTTCTGTGTGGCTAGGCTGAAGGCCTTTAAGCCATTACAATACCTACATCCTCTGACAGAATACGAAGTAAACAGAAGGGGAAAATCCCGTGCATTTAGACCTGCCATGTCCACTGTAAATTGTTGTTAATCTGAAAAAATGTAATACTATTTATTATTTATTTAATAGGTAATTATTACAAACAAATTAGCTTACTTGATCATGTGTGGTTAGGCCGAAGGCCTTTAAGCCATTACAATACCTACATCCTTTCGCGTTCTAATCTTTCGAATTCTGGTATTCACCCCAAATATAATACTAGGTGTACAGTCAATGGACCTTACTCCTCTCGTGGTATTCCAATTGTATGTAATTTTGCCAAATGTTTATACATAAACAAATTGCAAAATAAAATATTATTTAAAAAAAACAACTCCTGAGCAGTGCTGCCATACCGCGTCTAAGTGAACTATTGCTTTTTGGCTACCGCTTTTGCTACGTTTCAGATCCTGTTTGTATTGCGAGTGATTTTTGTGGTTTTTAGTTTGTATGATGAAGTGTTTATTAAGCAGTGGGGGCGCAATGTATTATTTAATTCGATTTGTGTATTACATTTAAAAATCTATTCGTGTATAATGAGTGTAAATAAGAAGAACGGTGGCCGGTGATGTTCAGCAGTAAATTGTAAAAATAATTTGAACAGTAATAAAGACATTACAAAAGACAAAGAACGGTACGTAATTAAAAATAACTTCAAATTAGTGGAATTAGAGGAAATAATGAAATTAGTTTCAGGGAGGTAGAGTCTTTTCTAACTATTCCTACGAAAAAACCTTGTGAATACTGTGTATCAAGAAGGCGGCCGACGCAACCTCGTTGCCTCTCGAAAATCAAAGGAAACGCCATTTAGATTTAGATTTATTTAGTAAAAACACAAAAAAAATGATAAACTGTGTGACGTTTAGGGAAGAAGATCATTAATTTTCCCTTCTGTGTACTTTCTAATCTGTGGCTTCACTCTCTGAATACCAATCTTTTTTCCGTAACGCGCTGGAAGGTTAGAAATGTTCACCTTTAATATGACGTTACAGGCATTATTTACATAAACATTTCTTAATTTCTATCTTCATTTTCACTTGCAATCTTAAGATACCATTTTCTCATTCTCTTTACAATTATCATTTAACTCACGTTATAAATCGGATTCTGAAAAGTATTTACTCATTTTTTTACTGTACCCTGCCAAGAGGAAAGTCTGATGAACTGAAAGTACTTCTTACGAAGAGTATTGTTTGAAACATTTTCCTTTCACCTTCAATAATAGAAAATAAATTTCTATTGGTTTATATCGGGTATTATTCTATTGGTGTCTATTGGGTTATATGGTTGGAGTAGAGTTAACCATTCTTAACACTACCGTGCTAAGAATTGTTAAAAGCATTTTGAAAATTGAAGTATGAAACTTAACAACGCAACATGCGTCACTGAGCAAATTGCACACGAGAAGCAATGAAAGACAAAATCTCGCCGCCGAAGAATAGCTAACTTCAACTCGACTTTAAGAAAATTTCACAGGAGGGCGTTTTGAAAGTTGGGAGTTATCTAATAATGATACTCACACCCTATGCCTTGTTATTATTAGATGATTTTCTAAAAGTTTGATTTGAAAACAATTTGGGTATGTTGTAGATCTGTATTCAGTGAGCTCAAACATTTTAAATCATTTTCGTTAAAAATTTTAGGGCTTTTGTTTAGACGAAGTCTCGAAGGTCATATTGGAACTGCCCCTGGCCCTAATACTTCATTACAAGGCCCTAAGACATTTCTTCAAAAAATGGTTTCATCGATTTTTAATTAATTGTTGTGGTTGAGAGATTGAAAGATTGAAGGACGTTTAAGAGAATGTTGTAGGTCTCATGTTCTTAACCACCTAGACAATCTGCGTATGTGGCCGGTTCGTCTAATGATTTTATAACAGGTTGCAGTAGAAACTTTGAATATATTTTTCACAAATAATAGATCATAACAAAGCTAAAAATCGAATGCTTTGTTTAATAACTCACTACATATTTTAAACTTAAAAACTACATATTTTGTAATCAGAAACAAACGTGTGCGACGCGGGAGATCTAATTGGTAGTTAATACGTGTTCCGTTGTCCCAGTAGAGACAAATTACGAATCGTTCAACTAATAGAGCACCCCGGTAGTTTTTGATTAAACATACTGACAGGATTCCGTAATCACGATACTTAATTTAAAATCCCAGTCGTGCTCAAGTCATTGCAGAGAGACATGATGAATTGTTGTCGATGTAACGTTGCTAATTCGTACCTTATGAATGGAAGCTCGCCTTTTTCCAATTCGCATTTGTACTGTTCACAATGATTTAACCAGACGTATAAACAACCATAACGATGATGCAGAAAATAGAGAAAATGTGAACACGTACAATTTTTGGATGAAGGAATCTACCAGAAAATGCTAATACACTGATTCGCGTGAGGATTGTGGAATTACGTAAAATTAATTGAGTATATTACAAAATCAACGGTTAGGAGACATTTACAATGCAGTAGAAACGATTAGAAAATGGCGCAAACTACACTACGATACCCTAAAATATTTCTATTTAAACACTAGTCTAGAGAGAATATGAAAACGCTTTGAAGTTTCACATTTGTGTGGTTGTGTACTTTGTTTTATTAATAATTTCAACTATTGAAAGGCATAGCTTTCTGTGATAGAAATCTAATTGAGTGTTTGGTCGAGTTTATACATTTTTATTGAAAGCTTTTTCAAAAATACGTATTTATGTAATGCTTGAAATTCCTCACATTATACTCCCACGTGCCGTCCAAAACAAATCTGGTTATTCTAGAAACATTCGTGTACAACTACTTTTCAAAATTGAAAATTGGAGTCTAGATTTGTTCTCATGTTACACGTACTACATAATTTCCTCGATCAGCTTTTACAGTTTTTATCATTCAAATCTGTGTAATTCTATTCCGAATGCAAATGTCGAAGTTACACTTTTTACCACCAACCAATCATGATGATTTTGATATTAATACGAGTTGAACATGACTCTTTTTTTATTCCCTATCGAAAACATTGCACAGCATTGGAAGCATTGAAGCGAACTTCCTGCCCTCCCAAAAAGCTTTTTTCGCGGGTCCGCTTAACATCTTTTTGTTCTCCACAAATCAAGAGTTTTTCATGCGCCGAGATGTCAGGAAGTACCAACGTTTTACAAAAAAGTTCATAAAATATTGCGACCGCGACCAATGACGCAGACATATCGTCTCATTTCCTGGCGTCGTTTTTCATGCGCGTCGCGAATATGCTGCGAACCTCGTAAAAAAAAAAAAAACGTTCTCGCGAGCGGTCACTGCGCAACGCGAGCCTTGGCACCTTGGCGGCCCCGGTCGCGCCGGGAGGGGGCTGTCTCCCTCGAGGGCCCCTGATCGCTCATCCGAAAGGTCGCCGACCGCCACTGACGGTCTCCGTCCGTTTAAACCTTGCGGCTCGGGCATCTCTGATAATGCGAGGTCAGAGCTGGGGTGGGAGTGTTCGCTCGGCTCAATAATTGAAGGTTATCCATTCCGCGACAAGGGAATGGTGAATTTGATTGTATCATTGACACGGGACAAAATTTGGTAATTTTCCTGCGTAATAAATAGCATTTAATTCTTTTAATAGTAAATTTTAGGTTGATTCTGATCTGTTCACAAATCTTTCAGTATTAATTTATGTGTGTGTATACGCAAGCTCGTGTTTGTAACGATTTGAGAAATTTCCAGCAAACGTAACTTGCACTCCCCTGCCTAACATCCCCATAGGTAGCTCGAGATGTATGTAGATGCTAAAGACAAAGTGTTTATGCGAACCGCAGAGGGCGGGTTGTGTGAGGGACAGGGTAGGCGGAAGGGCGGAGCTCTCAGAGCAGGCCAGACGGCCAAAGCGAGTGGGGGGCGAGCGGTGTGGCGAGTAGAGGAAGAATGAACGGGGGAGGGGAGAGTGGGCTAGTCAGCATTGGGTGATGAGCGGGAAGTTGAGCGGAGGTGGTGAGCGGTGGGTGGCGGAGGGTGAGCGGGAAGTCAAGTGGGGTTGGCGAGCGGTGGAGAGGGGGCGGGGGTGTTGGTGAGCGGAGATTTGCGAGCGGAGCTAGCACTCTTGTTCCTGCAAAATACTTTCGCGATCTTGAAGAGTGAGCGATAAGGGGTTGGAATGTCGACCTATTGCCCGGCCGTAATGCGAGGAGATAGGATTGAACGGGGAAAGAAGTTATTTAATGTTCTACTCCTGCATCCACGTGGAATTGATTGGATATAACGAGAACGACCATTTAGATGAGCAGTTCCCGAGACTTTTTAATTTAGGGAACCCCTTAGATCGACCTGGCTAATTACCTGATGTCTAAAATTTGACTCCTGCGAGAGTGGAAATTCTGACTTCTTTGTCTGCGAAACTAGACAGTTCTAGGCACTGAATTGTATGCGGCAATATTTCGAAATGTACCAGATTTCTGTTTTCGCACAAGTTCAGAAATGATTCTAGTTGTGAGATTTGTAGGAGCTTTGAGCGGCGAAATTGTTTTGCTCGTGTAAATATTCCAATACAAAACGTTTTAATACGAACTTAATTTTTCTGAACACACTGATCTTTCTACATCCCACGCATTTCATTAGTGAGACAAATAAGGGGGCATATTTTACAGAAGTATAAATTAGAAATTTAATTGCACTTTTCTGAAATTATGGAGAACACCAAAACATAACTTAAGATTCATTTTTAGACAGTTCGAGTTACCTAGTACGTTGATTTCTTATTTTAAATTTGTAATCTTTAGATGTGCATCGAACAAACCAACACGAAACCAAAAATATTGCTTCAGTTGGGACAGACGATAGGGTCCTGTGAAACGTGAAATGGAGATTGTAACGTATCTGCCGTGAAACACGCATTACAGCTCGTATCCAGCGATACGCGTATCGAGTTTCTCACCCATGGTTGCTATTCACACTTTACAATCACATGTAATTATGACTTTATAACATATATCCTACCCCACGGCAATACATTTTTATAGAGTTCAGCGAGCGATAAATGCTCGTTTGGAGCCCTCATTCAGTTGTTTCGTGTGAGTACTCCGGTCACTTTCGTTAGTCAGGAAGTGTGGTCGTTTGCTCCAATACTCCAATTGCTCATACTGGTAACAGCGGGAACAATAACATGGATAATGGTACACAAAATATCTCGAGAGAGATGGAGTAAATTACCTTAATTCTGACATTTCATTGTAACACTTCATGATGCCATGAAATCTGTTATTGCCTTGAAAATCAAACTAGAATCGCACCGTAAATTGCTGTTATTCTGTGTCCACTGTTGAAAATGTAAATATACTAAGTAATTTAATCTTTGAGAGAACTATTGACCTTCCTTTTTGAAACTAACTGCGAGAATTAAATTTATTAAGAAGGTTGCTCGTTTTAAAATTATTATTTAGATTACAAAATTATTCTGTAATCAACATTTTAGGTTGCATTAAGGAGAGAAAATAATTTGAAACGTGGACGATAAATAGATATTCAAATCTCTGCAATAATGTTGCTATAAGAGCGGAAAAGTACTGAATTTATTAAATTTTTCAGGCATTCCTACATAGTGACAAAGTTCTGTTTGTGTAATACGATGGAAACTTTTACATAGTTATATGTCGTCAATGAATAGACTTAGCGCCCCAACTATTCTCGATTGTTTAGAGCAATGGTGATGTCACATAAAATGGCCTCTCAGTGTTAACTAACATATATGAGTTTGTAACCATTTTCTGACAAAAATGTAGGCTAAAATATGTCTAGATTGTAAGGAAATCGAAAATGGTCTTTCTAAAATGTAGCAAGACGAACTGGTCATTTCACCGAGGCGATGGTCAATATTAATTCATAAAACGTCTAAATTTTGTAAACTCTTGTTACTCGCGGGGTGTGAGGTTTACTCACAAAGAAAAGCAAGGAGGAATTTTTGTTAAAAGAGAATTCTTTCGGCGTTTTTCTAGCAAAGTGTTGTCCAACTGGCGACCCGCGGTGCCATTTATTGCAGTCTGGGAAAGATTATTACACAAACCTGAACGTCCCTTGCATCCATGTTGGGCGAAAATATTGCGCCTAGCGCTCACGCATGGATCCAATCCCCCTCACACGTCTCAGAGCAGCTGGGCAAACTGACGAGATCAACATTACTGGGCCACGTATGGATCGCCCGACGAATGAAAATGTGCCACGCAAACATATTTATTGTTATACTTGTGACCTTTGACCCCTGCAAGTTGGACGCCCCCTGTTATAGCGCTTAGTCTGGTACTTTCGAACGATAACAGTATCGGCATCTCTGTATCGTAAAGTTTCTTATTTATTAACCTGTATGCCGTAAGAGGTCAAGTGAGTGTTTGGTAGTTTACCGTTCCAGTGAATTAAACATCTTCATAGGGATCATTTTGAAAGACGAAAAAATATCAAGAATAGTTCAGTATGACAGTGTTAAAGAGAGAGAAGAATAGGTAGGGGAAGAGTATTAGAGGGGAGAAGGAAGATGTAGGGAGCTTACCAATAGGAAGAGAAGCGTGTAGACTTCCAAAAATACTCAGTGATATTAAAGTCTGCTTCCCCATGACGCGGATGGGCAGTCCTCCTCTCTGTGGAAGCGGAGGCGAAGAAACCAAATCGAGGGTAGCCATAAACGATAATCTTGAAGGTTTTGAAAACCTGCTGAGGAGCAGACTACTAAAAGATAAAGATAATGATAACTGCAGTAATGTCTCTGCAAAATATAAGAAAACAATGGTAATACAGTGCACATGGCAAGTTTGTACACATTTGGCACCAAGCTGTTGAGAGTGGTATCAAAAAATGTTGGTATCACGAACACCAGGCAGCGCCCCACCGTCCGATGGATGGCGTACATGTTGGGAGGGGGGCGAGGTGATGGCACGCATGCGACACTAGCGCCCCGCACGGCAGCGGAGGCGACGGCGGTGGCGGCCTCGCTCGTCTGTATCAAAAGTCTGTATCAAAAGCTGTATCAAAAGGCAACGTCAAAGGGAGGAGAAGTGGGAGGAGACGACTATTCGACCGTCTTAAGGAAGAAGGATATACGTAGCTCAAAAGAAACCAACAGAGAACAATGTGGCATTCTGCAACTTTCTGAAGAGCACAAGACACAATGAAAATAATGATGATAACGTCAACTTTTCGGAGACGCTGAGTAGTCTACTGATCTGGGGATGTGGAGACGAAGGAAGTGAAGAAATTGATTTCAGCCCCAGAGGGCAATGTGGAAGCTTTTCGAAACATGATGAAGAGTAGAACGATGATGATGATGATGATTGCAAATTGATGACTTCGCTGACTGGTCAATCTACTAGTCGAATAAAACATTAATAACAACAATGTGCGAGGTTTTCGAGACCTGCTGAAATGTAGTATACACTATGATGATGGCAACCAGATTGAAAATAATAATAATAATAATAATAATAATAATAATAATAATAATAATAATAATAATAATAATAAAAATGTCTTTATTAATGGCGAGGCTCAGGCCATAGGGCCTGCTCTTCCGCCTAACCACTGAATTTACAAAATGGAGGGGCCGACGAAAATATTGACATACCTGGGGAAGAAGAGATGAAGCAAACATATCAATAATAGCCGTATAGGGTAACCTGGAAGGATTTCAAAACAAGCTTACGGGCACAAAGAGGCTGAGAGTGACAATGGCAACGGAGACTGCGTAGCCAATCTATTGGGGAAGTGGAACCGAATAGTTTTTTATGCGCAAAAGGCGTTCTAAGGATCTGAAGTGCTGAAAAAGTCCTTGGGCTTTTTGTCGCCTCGGAATCTGTTAACGCCCGCGGTACAAATACGATTTTGTTTTTTACCTACTTTCAATGGTTCAGAATTTATTGCTAATTACCTAATTTTAACAATTCAGACTACTTATTTCGTAATTAACTAGATGTTTACTTGAGAGGAGTTATTTGTCTTTTTATATTTCCTTCCCATAATTCTCTCCATAAGACAACGCGTGGCATTATTCAACTGTTTTCATATTTCTCTAGACACCCCGATCCTCTCGATCCAGGTTAATTATGCAACGTTCCAGAGTTAGAAGGCAATAGCAAGCAGTGACGCAATGTTTAGTAAAAAGCAAGTCTGTTAATTTTCGCCGGGCGTGTTAGTATGGAAGGTTTTCAAAACAAGCCGAATCGCGCCAAGAGGGGCAGGGCAACGGCGAAACTCACCTGGGGAAGTAGAGGCGCACCACCTCCCCGGGCCGGCCGCGCATGAGGTAGGTGCAGGAGGTGTGCGGCGGGTACCAGTGCGCCACGGACAGGAAGATGCCCTCGGAGTCGCCCGACGCCGCCAGCGCCTCGCTGCTCAGCACCCAGTCGCAGGTGCCGTTGCGCTCGCCCGCCGTGTCCACCTGGCCGGGCCAGTTGCCCACGTTGAAGTGGAAGCCCGTGTTGAGCAGCGGGCCCGCGGGCGAGCTCACGAACTCCACGAAGAGGTCCTCGCTGGTGCCTGCCGGCCGAGCGGACGCCACGCCCAGTGAGCGAAAGGAGCTGACGCTTTGAGCGCCGGGCGTGTGCACTGCTTCGGCGATTTGTCCCGGGAGCGTACTTCATGTAGCAGCCAAGGGGCGGGTGGAACGTCCCTGACGCCGATCTGTACTCCGACTTAAACACAGTGGCACTTCCAAGGTCACGAGCTGGGCGAAGAGGGGGGGTCACTGTCATCCAATCGAGAGATTTGTTACAACTTAAATGTTCGGTTTTGGAGCTCCCAATTGGATGGCAATATCCCCCTCTCCTTCCAGCTTGGGACTATGCAGTGACACTATGTTTAAATCGGATTGTAAATGTCGGCTTGCGAGAGCTTTTTATCCCACCAGGAATCTCCCCTAGCAGAATACAGCCTCAGTCGGAACACAACTTTTAAGTGCCAGACTGATTTTACGAAATGTGTTGTAGAGAAGTGCGTGTAGGAGTGTGAGTGTGTAAAAGGAGAGGAAATTACATATTGATGAATGGACGATTCTGAGCGGTCTATTTCCTGTTTGTTTGGGTCATGCTTTAACATTCGCCTGGTTTTTATGTGTGAGAGCACGGAAAATTAGCGATCAGAGCAGCCATTTGGTTCAGTTTTACTCCAGACTGTGGTTGAATTCGACCTTACTACTAAGGATTTCATCAGGCACCGCCGGGACTCGATCCCAGGACCTACACGCATAGCGGATCGTGACATCGAAAGTTAATGTTTCAGAAAATTAAGCCAGCATATTTCACAAAACTCTGACGGTTGTCTCAGCCAACGGCCCCAGCCGTACGTGAGGCAATGCTAGTTTTACTTTATGCTGCATATATTTGAAAACAACAAGAATACCACACGAATTAATGGAGATAGGGCCGTCATGAATGACATATAGCTTCAGTTTTTTCTCAGTCTCTCTTTGACTCTCTCTCTCTCTCTCTCTCTCTCTCTCTCTCACTCACTCACTCACTCGCTGAGATCTTGTCATGAACTCGCGGAGAGTACCGCAACCACAAAAATGATCTGTGGATCATGCGCTTGCACGTTGGTCCAACCTTCCTGATTGCCGCCCGACCTCTTTGAGCTAAACCCTCCTTAACGCCCCCTGTCGTTCGCTGCGCGATTTGGCATCGCATATATTTAGCGTTTGGCTCTAAGGTAGCACCGAGTAAAGCAACAGACCCGAACTACTGCACGGATCATTCTTTCACATCCGATTTGAAGTTAATCCACGTTTTGCGACTATGAATCAAGAGGGTAATTGTACAAATGCGACATATTCACCTTACATATATCTAAACACATTTAAATAGAAATACATTTTGGTTGGGAACAAACTTTCTGCAACTGACACGAGTCGCCACTTGAAAATAGTGGTAATAAGTGATAAAAGAAAAATCAACGTTTTTAGTTGCAATCCAAGTGTACTACAGTGCAATCTGGAGTGTAGAAGTTATGATCGCAATACACACACATGTGGGTTAGCACTTAGATTTTGCAATACTAGTAATATATTTAAAAAGTCATATCTAAGCTATCTTATAACTACAAAATGTTTTCAGCTCTCTATCAACAAGGCACAGAAAACTTTAACAGTTTTTTTAGTTATGAGGCAACTTAAAGCAAAACTCGAGGTTATCCGTTTTTGCAAATGCGGTTATACATCAGTTAAGAAAACATGTATATTGGGCCCCCTTGCCTGAAAAAAGTAGCGTGCTTTCGTTTTCTAACTGACCAAACGAGTCACTTGACTTTAGTATGTAGTTTCAAGAAAGCTTTAGGACAGTGCCTAAAAAAAGGGTGCGCCTGAACAAACCAACAATTAGTGGCGCGAATGAAGACGAAATGATTAAGGAACTTATAATGGCACAGCTGCGATAGTACAGTACAGCAACGTTGCGCAAAGTTCCCGCGCTGCCCTCGAGGTGATTCGCAAAGGGCGAGCGCAAGCCTCGCAAATAGCGCGCGGGATCCGGTCCGTCCCTCAGAGGCCGCGCGCCGTGAGAAATGTGTCCGAAGTGCCGACCGCATTGCTGCGGCTTCCTTCAGTGCGTTTGCGAGTGAGGCGGATGAAACGTCAACCACATTGCGCAGGCGCAGACGCCTCCCGAACAGCTCAGTTCATCTCTGCGGACGTTTTCGGGCACTTACGGGGTGTGGTTGTTCAGTCACGTGAGCGATTGTTTTCACGCTGATTGGTGCCAAACTAAATCGATGGGCGTGATAGGGTTTAAATCCGTGAAAACAATATTTACTTAAATAGAAGTTTGATGTTCACTTTTCGTGAATTTCGTCTAACACAATACTTCTGTAGTTGACGTTAATGACAAAAAATATTAGGAATTACCCCGGTCCCAACGTAATTTAGACAATGTTTAGGAAATTATTGCGAATATCACAGGTTTGCAAAAGGAAACTTGTTGTAATCATCAGAAACAAAATCATAATTTTCTAAAACTATTTTTAACAATTATTACGGTTTTGCATTTAGATTTGTGCTATCACTCATCATTCTTCTACAATGGCAAATACATTTATTACACTAAAAATTTTTATATTCTATTTTCTTATAATTTTTGTTGGTGAAGGACTAGTAGAAAGCGTAACTTGAGTGACATTCTACAGCCCAGGTTTTGAAATGTACACAAACGTCTTTTGGTTCCATTAACAGAATCTGTAGATTTAATTTTCCCTAGGAAATGTTCACAAACCCACTGAAAACTTGTTTAAGCACCTTGTTCTCCTGGAGTCATCATCATCTTTTAACATCTCTCGGATTTGGGCTCCCGCGAAGATTCAGTCCTCTATTTTAGCCGCTCTGATTTTTGGAAATTTTTCACAGAGATACTCGAATGTTGTAGAGTTTGCCATACCCATAGTCTTCATCAAAATTAATCCAAGCTTTATGTGAAGAAGAGGGACAAATCTATTGGGATTCACGTTGCTGAATTTTTGTTGTGGAGCAACATCGTAGAAAAATGTGTTCAGGTTATTTTTACACTTTGGAGGAATTTCGATGGTAATATTAATAACACGCAGATATCAATCAAAGAAACCTCTCTTTCGCTAGCAACAAGAAGTCTGTTCTACATTCTCCAGCGAATAGAAACATCTATGTATTAGTATGTAGGCTTTTGTGTGTTGTAGATAGGAGAATCCACGGAAAACTACCTATCAGAGCAGCCGGTCGCTAGAATTGTCCTCCAGACGCATCTGACTTTGACCTAGCTACCTATCTAGTGTCGAAAATCCTGGCTTCTTTGGAACTCGAACGTAGGACCTCCTGGTCAGAGGAAATCCAGTGACCTCTGTGGGAAAGTACAGGATGTCTCAGAATAAACGCTACACACTTTTAGCACATGTAGGGGTATCGATAATAAATCTGTGATGGGAAATGTAAGATAACAACGTTTCACATGTGATTTATAGGCAACTTGCCTTGCACTGGCGTTTGTCTGGTACACGAATCCTCTCTGACGGCTTTACGTGTACATGAACAAGACCAGTGCCGGATTATTTGCATCTCATGAGAGGCGACGTCACATGAGTGACTTCATTATGAAATTGCTGACCACAACAAGTTTCAAAAGGGGATACTCTTAGACATCCATGTCTAGCTCTTTCAACCTGTATTCTGAAACACCTATGTAATGAGCAAGAGTGATCTTACTAACAAAAACATGTTAGAGACTGGTTGCATTTAGAAGCAGCGGCGGACGTAGAAGAATCTCACGAAAAAGAGGATTAAACCGAAATTAAATATTATTGAACTCTAAAGTGCAACATTCAATTCCGGGCTTTCGTTCACGGTTTGGACGTTCACCGTCTCCACTGCACTCTCTGTACCTTCGGAATAAATAACACTGCATATTGTTTGCCTGATAAAATGTTTGGCTCACGAATCATTTCGCCATTTTCTACGTACAAAATCAGCTGTTAAATTAAATGAAAACAATTTTTAAATTTAAAATACTTTATTTATTTCTGCTGAATATTTTGGAATTTTGTTATTTATTCGGAGTAATATTCGGTTATTCATTCGGATAATTCAGTTCCTTGCTGGTTTTTTAATTTACTTCACTTTATTATGGCAATACTTTGAGCTTTGCAGGTAACGGACGACTGTATTTCATCGTAGATTTGGCAGGATGTCCCCGTTTTTCTGCACAAGACACAAAAAAGACCTACTGTCCCTCTGGCTTTATCAATGTGTCAACGACGGAGGACGCCATTTACCGGGCTTAAGTTTTAAATCCAAGTAATATACGAAGGCATAATTTTTTTTCAAAAATAAAAGTGTTTTTACGCATCTTTGGTTTTTTGTTTGTTTATTTTAAAGTTTGAAATACCGAAGGATTTTTGCCAGCCCCTCTATTTAAGAAATTTCAAAAAATGATTCATTAATCTAGAAACGTGTTCATTTTGGGACATCTTGTGTACCGATGAAGTCAATATTTAAGTATCGCACGAAAGGAGCTCTTTGCTGGCGAGTTCTGAATCTTTCGTGCCGCGTATTGCTATTCGCGTATAATGGCGCGGTGGCTTTCGCGTCTGGCGGAGTTCAAATGTGTGTCACTGTGTGGTCTGATTAACATTTGGGAGTATTAGGAGCGATCAGTTGGGAAAAGTCTCACGAAACGATGTATGGAAAAGTTCTATTGATACATAAAATTTCAAATAGTTTTCGCGCTTGATATAGTAAAACTCATTAGCTGTTGTCTGTCTGAATGTCCAGTATCAAAGAAAGTCACAAATACTTTGTAAGATATATATACAAGGATGAGCAAATGTGAATTCGTGAGAATGCTCACATTTGAATAATTTCGAGAAGGCAATTTAATGAATTTTACTCCCATTTGCTACGCAAAGTGGTATTCCGTTATGTGGATTTGTGGTTTACTATCTTCACGGTTTCCCCCACTTCCTGGGTAATACCAAAGTTCTTAATATTTTCTATATCTTCTTCCATTAATATCAAAAGATTGCCTATGTATGTTGCATTGTTTGCAAATTCTCTATATCTTATTGGTTACATAAACAAGCTGGTCTGTTTATTGAATTTGTCAAGTAGCTTGAAATACACCTCCAAAGGATGGCAAAGCGGTGTTGAAATTCTTTTGATTTCTGTCCTTCCAATTGACGGAGGATGATGTAATTCTTTTATTAGGACATTCGTTTAGTTATAAATCCTTTACATTCCGTAAACACATGACACGGAAGTCGAAAGGAAGTCCCCAAATCAATTTATCTACAAAAAGAGCCAATTCCCCTGGGCACGGAATGTAATTCACGACTGACAATCTGTAAAGTGAAAGAACTACCTCTAAAATTTGAGATTGACTCCACTTTCAAAATCTATTGGCACCTAAAATTCCAAATGCTACTTTCAGGAGATATAAATTGTATATGAGATTCAGGATTCAATAAAGAGCTCATCGAAATATTGTAATAAACTCGTAAAAACACAACACCAAATTTTGAAAAAAACAACAACTTATAAATACATGCTATATGAACATATTAGTGAATAAAATTCGGGTTAAAATTGCTAAACTGAGTTGGAAAACGAGATAAAAATAAAGAAGGTAATAATAAAAAACATATTTAGATAACATAACCCATTCTCTCATGGACGGTTTAAAATTTTGACGAGAATATATTACGTTCAGATAGAATGTGCTTGTGAAACATATATGCTGATTTAAGAGCAAAAAAGTGTTTCATGGCTTTACTTTAAATAATTGGCTTATCTTTCGGGTACGATAGTTATTCTGAGCTAAACTGGTTAGCGTAATATGTGTGCCTAAGATGGATGATTATTTGAACAAGAACATGATTCAAGGTAGAACCGTTATAACAAAATACTATTTGACAAAAAATCAACAAAATAATATGTCGTAATATTTTAATTTTTTAATTGATGAGTTTATGCATTTTAATTTACTTTGCTGAGAGAAACAAACAATGAAGTACTAGATAAATAAAGTCGCTTATATATTTCAGTTCTGGTCTTAATTTCAGATCTTTTAAGTGC